TGCTTCATATAGGTTGAATTTACTTTTACTAAAGGGGCAGAGGTGCGTGTCTTGTATAACAATTACAAAAGGGTTACTCCCTCTTGTTTATAGATATACACTTGTTTGACCACCACACCTGTTTTTCGTCCAACCCCAAATGAAGTTACACTCTTCAGGTTTTCTTCCAGCATTTTTATTTGAGCTTATTATTTATTTCATCTAAACTCTTTGAACTACTTATTGGTCGTTACATTTCTCTTTGACATTAACATATTTATTTGGACACCCTGTATATAGAAAGGGAGAAGAGGGGGGGGCGTTCCCGGTTGATATGCGGCTATAGTAGATCAAGGATTGAAGGATGAGGTTTAGACACAGGAGGAATCTGAATTTTATTCAAATTAATTGAATTATATACAATATGGATTCTATCATATATTATATCAGCTGGAGATCAGTCAATGATGCGCGTAGTGCCCATTCAACTTACTTACTGGAATATTTGGTTTGTGTGCGCGTCAGATTGTTAGTTCGTTTAAGTGCTTGCATGTATATCATTATATTGTATAAATACAGGGTGTCCCAAAAAACATGGGAATTCAGTGACGAATTCGATATCGTCTTTATGAATAATTCTTTGATTTAGTATAGTGATACCTACTGAGAAAGCTGTAATCTGTAAGAGTTTCGTCTGCTATGTTTACATTTTGTTTGTTTATGTTTTGACTGCAACCGGTTGTACTTAGTAAAACAAGAAAATTACAGTATACAAACAGAGTAAACTTGTCCATATTCACTGTTCATCTTGCGGAGACATTATAGACACATCTTTTCAGTCTTTTACCCTTTTCATTAAATAAACTCTAGCAGACATAATAATATTATGGCTTTTGAAATTAGGTATTACAATGCTAATTCATAACAAAGACGATATCGAATTCGTCACTGAATTCCCATGTTTTTTGGGACACCCTGTATCTTAAATGTATAAAGTAGTTATCTCTGTTTGTATGTCCGATCATAACTCATGAACTACATAACCGTTTGGCCTGAAATTAAATTTTGAACCTCTTTAATAGCACGGAATGTTCTTCTTGGTTTAAAACTTCATAGTTGAGTGGGTTAACTTTTATAGAGAAAGTCGTAGTTCTCAGACAAAGCTGGGTTCCACAATTGATGGTATATTATAAAGATAGATGTAGTATTGAATATCCCTTATGAATGACTATTACATATAGCGTAGGTAGTATATGTATAGAAGTAGATGAGTTTTGTATGTAATTTGTAAATTGTATAATATGGATTAGCGTAGGCAGTATTGTGAACCATACCCCTAAAATTACCCTATTGTAAGGTCGTCTCTGACAAACTGTACCTCCGTTAGACCCTCCGTCCACTTACCAAACCAAACCTTTCCAAGGCTTTCGCGTAGATATAAACAAAAACCTCATGGAGCAAAGTGCATTAAAAGAACCAATTTAAACATAATTTTCAGTGAATCATTTACAAATAAACAGTGAAATTACTTTAACCAGATAAATATTTATTTCAGAAGAATTAAATTGCTTTTATCTTCAGTTCAAACAACTTTTCGCCGTACCCCAGTTTTCTAGATTGTAAGTTCCATATACCTAATTCACAACAATACCTTTTAAAACTTTTATTTAACAGTTCACAACAGTGCCTTTTAAAACCTTTATTTATCGATTCACAACAGCAATAAAATATGATCTCCAAATCCTGCAAAACCTGCTAAACCTAGAGTTTCCAAATCCTGCTAAACCTGCTAAACCTACAAAACCTAGAATTCCAATACCTTTTAAGCCTTTGTTCAATTCTCAATGGTACATGTTTCTAAACCAATTGTTCGATTCACAACAATACTCATTTATTGATAAAACCTTCAACTGTTTAATCGTTATTAACAATTATTATTTATATGCATGTACGCCAATAACAATTTGTATTTTGTAGGAAACCTCGTTACTGAAATTTTCATTTTCAAGAAGTTGTTCTCATCTATGTGTGTCTGGTAGAAAAGAGTGTTTTCCTTGCCAATTCGCCTTATTTCCCTCTTTCGAGTATTATTCCTTTTGTTCGGCTCACAAGTATATGTATAGATGTAGATGTATTTTGTAAATTGTATAATATGGATTAGCGTAGGTAGTATATGTATAGATGTATATGTATTTTGTAAATTGTATAATATGGATTATGGGCTCGTGTGTGGGTTTACTGATGTTCTTACATCCAACTTTTTAGAATACTTCTTACATACAAAACGTAAATATTTGTTCTCTAAGTTTTGATAATTGTCTTTTTATACATTGAGAGATTAGTCTAGATGTTTGATAGCATGCAACTCTAATCCTTATATAATAAGTCCTACCTATACATTAGACCTAAACTGTAAACACACATAAGAAACACTGACAGTCCTAGATAAAGGAAGCATTAGAAAAAGACGACTGTAATATCAAAATGGTTCTTAGTTTGAAAATTATAATTATAACAGCTATAAACTGCACCCTTTATGTATATATATATATATATATATATACAGTGCTAACCAGAAAACTGTAGAATAGAAAGACGGCAGTAAACCAATAATTAAGCGGATTTGATGTTATTTGATGTTGTTACAAAGCAAATAGTTTCACTGGAAACTATATTAAATCACTAATTAAGAAAAATGGGTTTCCACCGCTCAATAGCTGATTTTTGGACCAAGTCGGATTATAACTTAAGTCTAAAAGTCGTCTTCCTATTTCAGAGTTTTTTGGTTCTCACTGTATTAGAAACTTTAGTGTTAAAACTTGTTAATCGGGCATTGCCATCTTTTGATGAAGGGTTACTTATAGAAATTACTCTTATAGATATTATAAATAATACATTGAATTGGAAAAACTTTTATTTAAAGTTTAAAATTGTAAGGTGTACGTACATACAGTTTAGAGTGTTTAGTGTACAGTGTATAGTATAGAGAACACGCAAGGAAAGGACATTACAGAATTACATGAGCAATACAGATACAAAATGTATTGTGTTTACAATGTGTATTGTACTATAACCTCGTTGATTGTAATGTATAACCATTATTTAGCAAGTAATATCCCAGCAATTTTCTTTTGGTCTTAAAGAATCTAAATATTAGAATAACATGGCGGCCACCTTTTTATCTGAGGTCTAGGCTTTATATGCGTATTTACATTTTTAGAAAGAANATGGTTCCATTTATTGTACTTCTTGCTTTGACGTTGGTTTAGCTGTTAAGATGTTTTAAATTCACAGATAGAAGAAAGAAGAAACGATACTTAAAAAAATAAATGATTCAATTTTTTTAATCTCAAAATTTTTATTTTGTTCCGCTAAAGTTATTGCTTTTCCCCTTGTATCAGACTCATATATACAAGGTGTACCACGAAACATGACAGTTGGTGAATAGTTTATAATGTCATCTTTCATAATTTGTTAAGTTCTTTGATATCAATTAGACAATAATTCAAATACTATATGGGACTCATGTTATAGAAAAATTGGTTTCAAAGTAAAATATGTTTCAGAAAAAGATTTTTTTAACGAAATAAACTTCAAAAAGCCTTTAATATCTAATTAAGTGTATGAAAGACGACTTTCATAACTATTTACCAACTGTCATGTTTCGTGGGACACCCTGTAAAATAAGACAATAAGCTTGCTTAGTTTCATTTCTTTGTTTATATTCCTGCTAGAATTGTCTCACAATTTCATGCAATACATGCAGAAGGTTCAGTTATAACTTTTCCGCAATTTATCCTTGGTTAGTAGTAATACTTATTACCCACGAAGTAATTTCTTTAAACGTTTAAACCTTAATTTCTGCAACAATTACGGTTCAAACTGATGAGTCAAGATATTAAGTAAATTAATGGCTGATAAAAGCTTCGTTAACGAATTAAGGTTTTAATTCATGGCAGTTCATCAAATTTAATTTTCAGTTCATAATATTTAAAGTTTTTTGTCGTTTAAGGTTATAATTTTATAACTAGAGCTAGAAATTTAACGCTGGATCTAGATCTTTACAACAGATCAACATTTAGGATAAGAAGTAAACTACAACTAGAGGCAGCTATATAACTAGAGCTAGAACTTCATCGCTGGATCTAGATCTTTATAATAGATCAACATTTAGAACAAGAAGTAAACTACAACTAGAGGCAGCTATATAACTAGAGCTAGAACTTCATCGCTGGATCTAGATCTTTATAATAGATCAACATTTAGAACAAGAAGTAAACTACAACTAGAGGCAGCTTTATAACTAGAGCTAGAACTTCATCGCTGGATCTAGACCTTTACAACAGATCAACATTTAGGATAAGAATTAAACCACAACTAGAGGCAGCTTTATAACTAGAGCTAGAACTTCAGAACAATTGCTGGTAGATAGAATTATAAATAATATAGAATAAATACAGAACTATAAATAACCAGATATAAAACTTTGTGCTAAAACGTTAGAACAAGAGCTATAACTTTAACGCTTAAGCAAAACTTTATAACAAGAGCCAGCAGATAAGAACTTTCGAAAAAGATGTTAGCACATTAAAATTTGAACAAGAACTTTAGAAGAAAAGAAAGCATATTAAAGCTGAAGTAGAACAGAAAAAGATGCTAGCACATTAAAGTTTAAGCAAGATCTTTAGAACAAGAAAGCACATTAAAGTTTAAGCAAGATAGAACAAGAAAGCACATTAAAGTTTAAGCAAGAACTTTAGAAAAAGATGCTAGCACATTAAAGTTTAAGCAAGATCTTTAGAACAAGAGAGCAGATACAAGTTTAAGCATGAACTTTAGAACAAGAGAGCACATTAAAGTTTAAACAAGATCTTTAGAACAAGAGAGCAGATACAAGTTCAAGATCTTTAGAACAAGAGAGCAGATACAAGTTTAAGCATGAACTTTAGAACAAGAGAGCACATTAAAGTTTAAGCAAGATCTTTAGAACAAGAGAGCACATTAAAGTTTAAGCATAAACTTTAGAACAAGAACTTTAGTGTTTTAGGTCTAGGTTGAAAATATTTAGCTCTAGGTTGTATAGTTGTATCTCTAGGTTGTATAGTTTTATCTCTAGGTTGTATAGTTTTAGGTCTTGGTTGTATGGTTTTATCTCTAGGTTGTATAGATTTATCTCTAGATTGTATAGTTTTATCTTTAGGTTGTATTGTTTTATCTCTAGATTGTATAGTTTTAGGTCTAGGTTGTATAGATTTATCTCTAGGTTGTATAGATTTATCTCTAGGTTGTACAGTTTTATCTTTAGGTTGTATAGTTTTATCTCTATGTTGTAAAGATTTATCTCTAGGTTGTATAGTTTTAGATCTAGGTTGTATAGTTTTTTCTTTTAACTGTATAGGTTTATCTCTAGGTTGTATAGTTTTAGCTCTAGGTTGTATAGTTTTTTCTCTTAACTGTATAGGTTTATATCTAGGTTGTTTAGTTTTAGCTCTAGGTTGTATAGTTTTAGATCTAGGTTGTATAGATTTATCTCTAGGTTGTATAGATTTATCTCTAGGTTGTATAGATTTATCTCTAGATTGTATAGTTTTAGATCTAGGTTGTATAGATTAAGCTCTAGGTTGTATAGTTTTATCTCTAGGTTGTATAGTTTTATCTCTAGGTTGTATAGATATATCTCTAGTGTGTATAGATTTATCTTTAGGTTGTATAGTTTTATCTCTAGGTTGTATAGATTTATCTCTAGGTTGTATAGTTTTAGCTCTAGGCTGCATAGTTTTTTCTCTTAACTGTATAAGTTTATATCTAGGTTGTTTATTTTTAGCTCTAGGTTGTATAGTTTTAGATCTAGGTTGTATAGATTTATCTCTAGGTTGTATAGATTTATCTCTAGGTTGTATAGTTTTAGATCTAGGTTGTATAGATTTAGATCTAGGTTGTATAGTTTTAGATCTAGGTTATATAGTTTTATCACTAGGTTGTATAGATTTATCTCTAGGTTGTATAGTTTTAGATCTAGGTTGTATAGTTTTAGATCTAGGTTGTATACTTTTAGATCTAGGTTGTATACTTTTAGCTCTAGGTTGTATAGTTTTAGCTCTAGGTAATATAGAAGAGAATATATTGTATTTAGAAGACTGCATGCCGCAGTACACACAAACAATTCTCTATTCAAACCCTTCCTACAATCCTAATCCAAATCCTTAGCTTTCATCCTTAGTCAAGCTTTCATCTCATTTCTCCCAAACATGAAGGCTGTTGGAATCAACCCTATTTACAATTCTAAAAAGGAATTGAGTTTTGGCCACAACCTCAAATTTTCTAATTTCTATATCTCTGCAACCAGTTGGTATAAACCTTTGATATTTCAAACTTAGATTATTTGATCTAACAGAATTATTAGATTGAAATATCTAAGGTCTACGACATTGGGTTGCCAAAATATAGGGATAAGAATTTATGAGTTTGTGGCAAAAACTCAGTTCCTTTATCTGTTTCTCAACTTATGATATTTAGATTGTACATATAGGTGTATGAACATAAAATACACATGATAATACTTTTTTTTTACTTGAAGGGAACTATTATTTAGAATAACTCTCTTATAAGAAAAAATATTACTTTTGTCCCATTGTTTTTTCTTGCCCCCCCCCTCCCCCCTCCTCCTTAAAATACATAGCACCCTCCCCGGGAGTTTTTTATGTTCCTTCAAGTGCTTTATTTCTTTTCCAATACCAACCCCTGAAAAACCAGACACCTAATAACCCTCTTCCTCATGAAACAGACCATATATATATTCACCTTCAACCATTAGAAATCCTCCAGAGAATTTATACACGTTCTGGATTTATGGATATATTGGATTAAGTACTTTTATCCTCTAGAACAGAAACAATCAGACCTCTGGAAAAAGCCTGAAAAGCAGAGCAACCAACCTTAAAAAAATATCTATAATCTATATATACATATATTTGGCGTGCCTGGTTACTTCCATAAACTTTGAAACGAGTGAATCAATTGGCCGAAATTTTCGAAGAACCAAGGGTAGATTTATGGACGGTTTGAATTTTATTAATGTATCTATGATTACAGGAAAATCTACGAAATTAAAAAATTTCTTCATTTCCGGTATCCTTTAAACCTTTATCTGAGTAATAATGAGAAAAATATCTCCCTTTTTTTCTAGAAAAAAGATAAATTCTCAAAAATTCCTTAACTGTCTCTGCGGCCTAAATCCGTCATTCAAATCCACAAATGATGATATCTCATTAGTTCTTGATCAGACCTAAGGTTTAAAGGTTACCGTTGTGAATCGGACATGCCTCTTTATAAATTGACTGTCACTTAAAATTCCGTCTTGATAAAACAAAATCCAGCCCAAATATGTAGATTGTATAAACCCTGTTCTGAGAAAATGTGAAGGAAGCTATAGTGTAAGAAAAGATATATTACAATAAAGGAGAACTAAAGGGTGTCCCACAAAACACAGCAGAAGCTTGATAAGGATGATTGCAGAAAAAAATACGTTAGTTCTTAATCCTTAATATTTACTTATTTAAACTAGTTTGCCTTTTTTGTGGTCTCACCACTACCCGAGAGAGTAAGAATTTTGCAAAAAAAACTAATTTTGTCTCAACCTCTATATATTTTGTGGTCTCACCACTACCCGAGACAGTAAGAATTTTGCAAAAAAAAAAACTAATTTTGTCTCAACCTCTATATATTTTTTAATACCATAGAAGGTAGCCCACATTATAGAAAGCTTGTAAAGCGTAAAACCTTTTTATGATACACACTTTTTAATTAGATATTTATCAGAGATTAAAGTAGTTTTTAACTGTCATGTTAATTGTGACACCCTGTACGTGGTTGTATCTCTATACCGTACAACTACCCCAATGCTACAAGAAATCTGCGGTAAAAACATTTTCGAGATAAAAGAAGATTTTCAAACATTAATCAACATTTTTCACTTTTGTTCTAGAACTTTCGGACCTTTCAACTGTTATGAGAAGAAAGGATATTAAACTTATTTGATTTTCATGATGTTAAAAAGTTGACGCTTTGGTTTGTTTTGAAAAACAAGTAGTATGTTGATTTTCAAGGAATGAAGTATCATTTATGTTTCGTATACTTGGACGATGTTCCTTATTTAAATGATTCAATTCATTTCTTATTAGTACAACTCATAACATTTTTTTTACATTTTTTAAATATACAGGGTGTCCAAATAAACACGGGAATTCAGTGACGAATTCGATATCATCTTTTTAAATAATTCTTGGATTTATTGTAGTGATACCTACTGTGAAAGCTGTAATATGTAAGAGTCTCGTCTGCTATGTTCACATTTTGTTTGTTTATGTTTTGACAGCATAAGGGTGTACTTAGTTAAACAAGAAAATTTCAGTATACAAACAGACTTGTCCGTCTTCACTGTTCTTCTTGCGGAGATATTATAGACACATCTTTACACATCGTTTACCCTTCTCATAAAATAAACTCTAGCGGACATAATAATATTATGGCTTTTGAAATTAAGCATTACATTGCTAATTCATAACAAAGACGATATCCAATTCGTCACTGAATTCCCGGTTTTTTGGGGGACACCCTATACATTAATCTAGACTATACTACAGTTTAACCCAAAAGTTCGGAGACATCGAAAGAATTTATAACATGTCGTCTTGACAATTTTTCAATGGGTACTATTGTACACTACCTAAACCTCAGTAATTGTAAAAATAACTAAATAGCCATGAAATATGCTGGAACCGTTTTATAGAACTCAATTTAATTATTCAATTAAAAACTAAATATCTGCAGTATTCCATTATCAGTAGGTTTAGAAAACGACATTTTATAAATTCTTTCGATGTCTCCGAAGTTCTGGGTTAACTGTGTGAGGGAAGAAAAACTATATTTTTGCAATGTTTGCTGCACCGTAGATGAAATAAACTCATTGTGCAGCATTTTCTATTTTTCTTCATCTTGGCGAAGTGTTCACGGGCTGAGTTGGGTAAAGTGTTAAAGATTAAGATATCATGATTCATGGTTTAAAGCAGAGCTGTATCATCATTCAAACCATATCTTCTTAATACACAGGGTGTCCTTGCAAACTTAAAAATGAGAATAGAAAACTTTTAATGGAAATAATTTAGCTGAATAAAATTTAGCATCCGTCAACCTTCGGGCTACTTAGTTGAATTTGAAAATTTTACGTTTTTTATGGTAAATGTCATTGCTTAAAATTTTTCTAAAGGAAATCAAATATTTTTTGGTCTGTAATTTTTGGAATCCCTGTAATTAAGTGGCTGCAGACTACACACATACAGCTAGGGTCTTCCGATAAACTAGTGAATTCATAAATTAATTTAATAAAATACAGTTTGATTTTTTTTGCTAGAAAAATTGGATCTTTTCTCCTTTTAAATTGACGGAATTATGAGGAGATTTGAAATTTTTAAAAAATGGTTTAAATTTCAAAGATCTCTTTAGATTTTAAAAACATAAAAATAGTAAACCACATTTTGTAAAGCTCAGTAGCATCCTTATTGCGTACAAATACAAAGACAAATTATTAGTCTTTTACGACAAACTAAATACTCATTTTATTGGGTTATCCACTGTATATATATATATATATTTAGTATAATATAAACACAATATAGCTATAGTAATAGGTTTAATCTATTCAACTTATTCAACTATGCTGTGTAGCTAGAACTAATTGAATAAAGACTAATGATCGTATTTTTACCAATATTAGTATCAGAGAAACAAGGATAGTAACACGTGTCATACAATTCATTCCCCCTCCTAGAAATAGGAGACATAAAAAATAAAACCATAATCTTATTTTCACCTTAAAAAGTTTTCAAAATAGTTAAAAGATTACAAAGGTTTTATTTTAGTTTTTAAGTTTAATTACAAGAAAAAGAAACCGATAAAAAAACTTCGGAAACAACTTCTTTTTTAAAATATTTTTTTTCTTATTCATGTTTCCAGCATGTGCAATGGACGGGAAGGAAGGGAAGAAATTGTATTAAAGTATTATTGGACGGGAGCATGGTGTGAGAAAGATTAGATTTGACACGTAGCTCGTGGATAGAGATTAGAAACCAAGGGATGGGGTAGGGGGTGTTAAGGGGTAATATAAAATTAATATATTTTTGAAAATCATATTTAAACGAATTCTTGTTGGTGGCTTCTTAAAATGCTTAGAATAAAAGCGCAAATCTTGCCAAATCTTCATATCCTGGGCTGCAACAAGTTAGATGGGGTTAGCAAGGTCAAATACCTGGCGACACTTCAAAATCGGCAAATATTTTGTGCAAATTCTGTACATTGTAGTGCACTGTGTACCGAAAGATAGATGGTTACATAAGAAAAATGTTATATAATTGTTTTAAAGTTGAAATAATTTTTTTTTTGCTTTAAAATAGTATAAAAATGAATAAATTAAGTTTTCATTTAAAACTACGGATGTAAAAAAAGACTTCCTCACAGTTGTCTCTAAAAGTCTCATTATTTTTGGGTAACTCTGCTTATCATGTGATATAGAAAATGAACTCTGCTTATCATGTGATATAGAAAATGTATTTAGAAATAAGAATTGGATTTGGAGGAATGCAGAAACTTTTTAGTTTAAAGTTTTGACAGGTTGAAACATAATACAAGGATGTGTAGGACACTTTAGCAAGAAAAAGTAGGATACAATCAAGGATATTTTGTATAGACGTGGCCCTCTAATGTGAAACCATTTTGTACACTTGTGTCTCTTGGATTCTACCAATTTCAAGAAAATTATTAAACCGAACCGTACTCCAATAGTATCTGTCAGGGGAGAGTTTATAAAACAGAGTGGTGAAATAGAAATGAAACTCCTAATTTGGGAAATTTTTAAATTGAAAACTGATGGCACGAGGCATTCTACTTTCAACTGATTCGTGTGATGTGTAAACATTGATTGATACAGTTCATATAAGCCTGTTAAGCTAGGCCCGTTTATATAAGCCTGTTAAGTTATAAGGAAATATATACTGGAATAGTTATTTTTGCGTTTTACGACCTCTATATTGTTTTATAATAACTTAACATTGACATCACTGAATTTAAGAGGAGTTTTAATCAAAATAATTCTTTTGTGTTTTTTGAACTCCTCATTTTGTTGGAAACTAATATTTCTTTGTTTAAACATCACAGGGTTTTTGGACTTTTTTGAGATTACAGATGAGCCTTTTGAAACCCCAAAAATACCAATCTATATAATAAAGCTTTAGGTGGCCAAACGGCTGAACCAAATTGTCTAAAAATTTGTTAACGGAACCCATGGATACTCCGGGGATGATTTAGGCTAAACAATGGCCTTTTTTTAATTCCACGTGCAACCCTAGGCACTGCTAAAATCATGATTTACCAAGCGCGGGTAAACGGCGTTGGTAAACATGTCGAACCTGGACAAATCAGCTTGTATGTTATAAAGCAAATAAAGAACGATGTCATTCACTGCATGTATGAAGTTATGTAGCATGACTATGTGTAGTGTATGGTGTATCCTGAGTGATTAAATTAAGATACAGAGTTCTGCCTGATTTGTATCATCTGTATCCAACCTGTATATTTAAACCATTCTTATCAACATTAGACCATTCTCCCATACACCAGGAACCCGTTACATTTATTCGCTCGAATTATCAGATATATTTTCTCAATCATTTATTTATTAAACTGATTTACTGTAAATCTTCATTTTATTCATTTGATGCAATTTTTAAGATTTTTTTAGTTTTTTCTTTATATATATTTGTTTGTTTGTTTGAAAATTGTTTTCAGGTTAATAATATGGGTGAACCTATATTTGACCCAAATTTGTGGAACCCATGCATGGGGCCTTCGATGAATTAAAATGGTTGTGGACATTTTGTGTGGAACATTAATGCTGAACTCAATTCCATTAAGATGTCTCTCCAAATAAAGATTTTCAAATGAATAGAGTACACAATGAATCTCTTTTCGGGGACAGCCAATTTTTTAGAATTTTGCACAAAAGTAAAATCATTTCGTTTTGATTTAATTATATTTAAGAATTTTGTTTTTTAAATAAGAAATGTTATTTTTCTTTACAAGAAGCGGAAAACTAAAGTTTACTTTAACCCTGAAAAGGCTTGAGTGGGTGCCCTTTTCCCCACTCCAAGGTTTTTTTTCCCGTACCACTCTGTTTTTTAACAACTTTACCTTAAACCGTACTATAGGTCCATACCCCATTCAAGTGCTCATTTTTAAATGTCAATATGGTGGCCGCCTATTTTATAGCTCTTACCGACTTATAGTTCTATCAGTTCGCACAAACTCCGCTGTACAATGTATGTATATCTACTAGAACTTTAACATCTACATGCCTTGACACTGATGCCTAATAGACTTGGATAAAGGTTTGCCTATGTAATAATAGAACTTTTAGTTTCTGCACTGGAGGAACTAACTGTTCTGGTCTATGGCTTTATAGTTGTATAAAAACTGATCGTATTAAAATAATCTTTGTAGGTTTTAATCTAATTGATCCTCACCATGCGATATTCTTTCTCAAGTTTGAAGTCATTCTTCGTTCTAGAATATAAACTCTCTCTGAGAACTGCAACTTAGAATCTAGGATCTAGATCTAGAATCTAGAATCTAGGATCTAGATCTAGAATCCAGGTTCTGGTCATCTTTTGTGGATGATTCTATAGTTTAAATAAATATTTATCTATTCATTTTTCTCTCCATGTCACATGACTAATCACTTTTTTGCTTTATATAAAATATATTTGGTGAAAATATATCATTATTTCCCCTGGGAGCCTTCATTCATCTTTAAACATATATACATACCTGTCTTCCCTTCATTCATCCTTAAACTTATATATACATACCTGTCTTACCTTCATTCATCCTTAAACTTATATATACATACCTGTCTTACTTTCATTCATCCTTAAACTTATATATACATACCTGTCTTCCCTTCATTCATCCTTAAACTTATATATACATACCTGTCTTACTTTCATTCATCTTTAAACATATATATACATACCTGTCTTCCCTTCATTCATCTTTAAACTTATATATACATACCTGTCTTACTTTCATTCATCCTTAAACTTATATATACATACCTGTCTTACCTTCATTCATCCTCAAACTTATATATACATACCTGTCTTCCCTTCATTCATCTTTAAACATATATACATACCTGTCTTCCCTTCATTCATCCTTAAACTTATATATACATACCTGTCTTACCTTCATTCATCTTTAAACATATATATACATACCTGTCTTACCTTCATTCATCTTTAAACTTATATATACATACCTGTCTTACCTTCATTCATCCTTAAACTTATATATACATACCTATCTTACTTTCATTCATCTTTAAACATATATACATACCTGTCTTCCCTTCATTCATCCTTATACTTATATATACATACCTGTCTTACTTTCATTCATCCTTAAACTTATATATACATACCTGTCTTACCTTCATTCATCCTTAAACTTATATATACATACCTGTCTTTCCTTTATTCATATTTAAACTTGTATACATACCTGTCTTACCTTTACTTATCTAAACTTGTATACATACCTGTCTTACCTTTACTTATCTAAACTTGTATATACATACCTGTCTTATCTTTACTTATCTAAACTTATATATATCGAGTACCTGTCTTAACGTCATTCTCTCCACCTTGTCCTTTTCCTCTTTTGACTTTCCTTCCCTCTTTTTTGAGCACCCCTTTTTCCCTTTCTTCCCTTCTTTCCATTCTTCCCATTATTTCCATTCTTCCCCTTCTTCCCCTTCTTCCCCTTCTTCCCATTCTTCCCATTCTTCCCATTCTTCCCATTCTTCCCATTCTTCCCATTCTTCCCATTCTTCCCATTCTTCCCTTCTTCCCTCGTATCTTCTACCTCTTCCCCGTCTCTTAAAGGGACTGTCGTTGTAATTTTAAGTGGCCCTTTGTTCAAAGAGTGGATTCCCTTTAAACTTTATCTGGTACATAATGCGGCAAATATCCTCGTTTTTACAAAAATTTCTGAATTTGTATGGACGCTACGTTCTTCGGTATGAGTCGTTTTTAATAATTTTCTTCTATAGACACAACAGATAGAAGTAGAATTAGTAGCAATGACCATTGAATATTTTTCGACTTAAGCCTTTCATTTTTCGCGAACACTCCCTTTAAGGATATTGTTTTTAATCGGAAAGGCCTCTATATGAAGGGTCTTATAAAACTATGCCTACTTATATTATGATTTTGCTTCCTCGCTTTCCTGTTAAACTAAAAATAACACTTAGGGCCTAGTATGCAACACCTTTGCGGAATACTGGTAGTGTTTAAACCTCGAGTAAAAGAAGAATAGAAAACCTTGAACCAGTGTTTAGTGTATACCAGGGCGCACCATGATTTCATACTTCTCTATATAGATCAATATCAGGCTTACAACGCATATATAAATATATATATAGAATATTATTCTTAAACATGGGCGTCTAAAGATGCTTGTTATGTTTTAAAATGTGTTCCACCCACTCCCTCCCTCGCACCTTCTTTTTAAGTGTAGGTAGGACTGGGCAAAGGGCCTTTAATGATTAGACAATGCTGCGTTATATCATGAGTTAAAAAGGAACAAAAAGATATTAATAAACTAGAAATTTTGATAATTTATGTCCAACACACCCCAAACTAAAATATGTGTTTTTCGGACTTTTAGGCCAAGAACACTTCAAGAACCCTTCAAGAATCCAAGAACCCAAGAACCCTTCAAGAACCCTTCAAGAACCCTTCAAGAACCCTTCATTAAAAGATAATAGGGATGGGCAAATGTCCGGTAACAAACGGAAGTCTTCAATGATTAAAAGAAATCAACGATCGGAATGAAACGTATCGTATTCAGTTAAAACTATCTGTTAATTAAACTTGACTATATCAGTTAACAAACATATTGAAAAAAGAACTAACATGACTAGCCCTATTGTTAGTAGTATATATCTATCTAGTATAGAACCATCCAAATTGAACTTCAACTGCTTAGAGCAAATCACACTGTGTTCTTATATTATGAATTAACCTCACTAACCCACCAACCCTATCCAATCCAATCCAATTGGTTGAGGAGGGGTCGGGGAGGTTCCAAGGTTCTATACAATAATGACAGGGAAGGTGTTTGATTAATGTTTGGATGCTAGTCTAATGAACAATGTTTTGTGATTAGTTTTACTAAAGAACAAAAACTGTCATAAAGGTGTATTTGAGAACTAACTACTCAAATACATTTCTCATTCCTCTCTGTACCAATTAAATTACTTTCGAAAAAAGCTTTTTTTCTTAAATTTTACTTCTTCTTTTCTCTTTTTCTCTTCTAAACTACTTGAGTTAGATCTACTTAACCTTTATCTTTATCCCTCTCCTCCTTTCTATCTAAGCTACTCCTGTACTCCCTCTCATCCCTCTCCTCCTCTCTATCTAAACTGCTCCTGTACTCCCTCTCATCCCTCTCCTCATCTCTATCTAAACTACTCCTGTACTCCCTCTCATCCCTCTCCTCCTCTCTATCTAAACTACTCCTGTATTCCCTCTCATACCTCTCCTCCTTTCTATCTAAACTACTCATGTACTCCCTCTCATCCCTCTCCTTCTCTCTATCTAAACTACTCATGTACTCCCTCTCATCCCTCTCCTCCTTTCTATCTAAACTACTCCTGTTCTCCCTCTCATCCCTCTCCTTCTTTCTATCTAAACTACTCATGTACTCCCTCTCATCCCTCTCCTCCTTTCTATCTAAACTATACTCATGCACTCCCTCTCATCCCTTTCCTCCTCTCTATCTAAACTACTCCTGTACTCCCTCTCATCCCTTTCCTCCTCTCTATCTGAACTACTTCTGTACTCCCTATCATCCCTCTCTCTATCTAAACTACTCAATTTCTCCCCTCCACCCTTTATCTTTGCAGTACCCATGGGATTACACGAGTCTTCTGAAAGTATAATGAATATATAGAATATTATATTATGCATATTATATCGTATATCAATGTTAAATATAATGCATTTTCACTCCCATCTTATCACAATATTAACAAGCATAATGCATTCTATCCGTAGGCTACCAGAAAGAAATATTTGAATATGAAGACAACAATAGTAAAAACGGGCCCAACCTGTTAAGCAATGATGCTTACAATTAAGATGCATTTGGTAATATTATTTATCTATCCTGCAAACCTTCTGACCGGCCATAAACGTTCATTTGACCTAAACAAACCAATATGAAAAAAAAACATAATGGACATCATCATCAGAGTGAGGAAATGTTGAGAGTAAATGGAAGGGGGTGAACACAGTGTTAACTAGTAAAGTATATGTACATATTTTAAGAGAATCTATGATTACTATTCTACTATTTGAAAGTTTGAAACCTACTTGATACCAAAGAGTAAAAAACAACAGAGTAATCAGAAACGCCCGGACTTGTAATTTTTGCAAACGTATGTTATAGATTGTAAATTAAAAAATTATCTAAATGTAATGACAAAATCGCTTACACTATATTAAACTGCGTAATTTTTTTAATCGATATCTCTGTAATTCTTGATCCTCTGTGTCTAATATATTCATAAATTCAGATTATTGAGTTGTGTCTGGTAAATAAAGAGAAGATTAATCATATTTTGATATTCAAACCTTGAAACCAACTTCTGTGTTAATATCTGTATATTTAATATGTGTACAGATATTCCACCATAAACTAAGCTTGTTGTGCAGTGCAGTACACATACCTTATATTTAGTGGGTTTTAGTGGATTTAAGCACGATACTCAAAGATGAAACTGTAAGGGTTGCCTGGAACTCAACAGCCATGATATTCATTTTAAATTTATCCTAAAATCCATTTTTACATCAATCTTTTTTTGCTATCAACTCAAATTTATTAATCTCCATCTCCTTGAAACCTGATGGTGTAAACCTTTGATATTTCAAACTTAGAATTTTTGATCTCATAGTTTGACATATCAAAGTTCTACTAGATCGGGTTGCAAAGATAAAGGAATTAAAAAATTAGAGTATGTGTCAAAAACTCATTTTCTTTAAATGATTAAATGCATAAATTTGTGCAAAAAAAACTAATACAACTTTTTTCTTTATGTTTGGTTTTTTGTACGTTTGTAACCCCATGTATTGTATGTGTAAGTGTATATATTGTTGAATAATAATGCAACATATAAAGTTTCCCTACGGAACAAGCAGGCGGTAAGAAACCGTCCTATGGGTATACCCTGCTATAATAAAAGGGTTATTTATCAACAGCAATATACTTGTAAATTGTATATTGTATATTTGTACACTCTTATTCCAATTTAACCTGCATAGTGTACCCTTACATATATAAAGGAACTTCACAAAAAATTCAGCAACGACGTTAATAATTCAATTAAAACAATAAATCTGTAACTCCCCCCGCCCCCCTCATACCTTGTAGATTTTATGTACTGTAAACGTTTTCTCAGTTATATATTTTTATTATTTAAAGTGTATTTAATTAAATTAAATTAAACGGTTTCGTGGGGGAAATTTTTACTTAATGAAACCACCTGCTAAAAATCGTAGTGTATAGCTACAGCATTAATATTGGACCATTATTCTATCATTATCGTAGCCAATTTCATTCAAATTTGAAGTCCTGGAATTCCTCTGATGCAAAAAAAACACAAAAACATAAAAAGATCTAAATTCTAATTTAGGGTTTATCTGAAATCTATAGTGTACACCCCCAGACCAAGTAACTTAAACCAGTTAGAACAGTTTTAAGAAAAGCTATCCTGGAAGAGTTTTAAGAAAAGCTATCCTAGAACTGTTCTAAGGAAAGCTGTCCTGGAACAGTTTAAAAAAAAAAGCTATCCTGGAACAGTTTTAAGAAAAGCTATCCTGGAACAGTTTTAAGAAAAGCTATCCTGGAACAGATTTAAGAAAAGCTATCTTTGAAATAGTTTCAAGAAAAGCTATCCTGGAACAGTTTTTAGAAAAGCTATCCTGGAACAGTTTTAAGAAAAGCTATCCTGGAACAGTTTTAAAAGCTATCCTGAAACAGTTTTAAGAAAAGGTATCCTGGAACAGTTTTAAGAAAAGCTATCCTGGAACAGTTTTAAGAAAAGCTATCCTGGAACAGTTTTAAGAAAAGCTATCCTGGAACAGCTTTAAGAAAAGCTATCCTGAAACAGTTTTAAGAAAAGGTATCCTGGAACAGTTTTAAAAAAAGGTATCCTGGAACAGTTTTAAGAAAAGCTATCCTGCATGTGAGAGACAGAGCAGTTAAGTGCCTAGCCAGTAATGGTGGTCATTATAATGTTAAAATTGGTAACATTGGTCCAAAATTGAGGATTTAGCTACCACTACGGTTTTGGTAAACCCTGTATTTATAATAGCATGGGAATTCAGCTTTGCCTGGAGACTAAGTTTTCCCCATCAAAGTTATCCCACACAACTTAGAATTCCTAAACCAACCTAGAAAGAATCCCATGTTCTACAACGTTTGAGGAAATTAGTCAAGGGGTTCGTGAGTTATGATCGGACCGACAAAAAGAAAAAAATACATTTGGTTGGTCTTAAATCGTACAAAGAACTAAACAAAACCAACTTAAAATTTCAAAACACGTTTGAAAAGTAAATATAGAAAAGGTTAAATTTCCCAATCTTAAAAGTACATAACATTTATTATATTAATTCAGACCTCTTTTACTTTAAAATAGCACTTTATCTGTTAGCAACGCCCTGCCCCACAACCTCACCATAAGCAACCATGCATCACCCCTTCTACACCTGACCNCCCCGCCGTCCTGACTACAATAGACACCCCTTCTATATCTAAAATTAATTCAGTATGGTCAGAGAAATATGTCTAAAGAATATCAATTTGTCAAATACTCTGGCCTTATCAAATCCTTGTGGTTTAATATATGTTACAGATAGACAAGTAAATAGATAGATACCTAAACACAGGACAAATGATATATGATCAAGTCAATATTGCAAAAAGAACACGATTTGATTACAAAAGCCGATGTAAACAGTTTTTTTTTCTGTGTAAAGAACAAAAAAGTTAAAGGAATTGAGTCGTTGCCACAAACTCTGATTTTCTAATTTCGTAGACCGTAGGATTTTAGATACTTTCCTAAAGGCCTTTTCACAATGCTTCTAAAGGGTATTTTCCCAAGTAGCAACTTCCCCAATGTGCAATTTCCCAAGCGGCAACTTCCCAAATGTACATTTTCCCAAAATGACAATTTCCCAAGGGGCAACATCCCCGTGAAAGAAAAAACTTCCCAAAATACATTTTCCCAAGTAAAAATTTCCCAAGTGGCAACTTTCCCATTAAGGAAAAGCGACAACTTCCCAAATGTACATTTTCATAAGTAACAATTTCCTTAATAAATTTATTATTTTTTCTTTAAAACAAGTAAGAACTGCAGCGCTCGGCCCCTAGGATGTGTTAGGGGGCCAAGCGCTGCGGGTAGGATACCCTAGCCGCAGCGCTCGGCTCCATAGCCCATCCTAGCCACGGTGCTCGGCCTCCACTGTAGCCTGTGGCGCCTCACACGCCTAACCTAACCTTAAATATTGTACTGTATTTTCTTTAAAAAATGTAATAGCTACAGCGCTCGGCCCCCTAGCCCATCCTAGCCTCAGAGACTTAACCTATCTGTGAAATAATTATAAGGATCGCTTAATACATTTTTACTCTTTGAAGAAAGGGTGTAGGCTGCCAACATGTTCTTTTGCCTTAACAATTAAACGGAGAGAAACAGATTGAAATTTTTTTTAAGTTGCGTATTTTCTTAAAACAAGTTGGAAATTGTCATTTGGCAAAACGTACATTTGGGAAGTTGCCACTTGGGAAATTGCACATTTGGGAAGTTGCCACTTGTGAAATTGTCACTTGGGAAGTTGCCCTTGGGAAAATGCCATTTGGACTTAACACCGACCGTAGATATTTCAAACCATAAATTTTAGCAGACCAAATAAATTTGATATTTTTAAAGGTTTACACCATCAGGTTAGAAAGAGGTAGGGACTAGAAAATTTGAGTATGTGGCAAAAACCCAATTCCTTTAAAATAAATTTCAAGCAATTTCTTTTCGTTTAAGATAACGTAGACTTGCAATAGAAGTTTTGATGGGTGTGAATTTTATTTAGCCTTAGGCACTTTACAACATGAATGTACGGCTTTACTTCGGTTTAAACTGGAAAAAAGGAAACCCAACTGATATGAAATCTCTATAAAAAGAGATGCACTTTATTGTGTTTACTCTCTAAATATCGAGATATTGATATGCTTGAATTCTACAGAGGGTTGAAATATAATATCAGATGTTTATTTGATAGTTTAGATCAACAATAAATTCGAACGACATCGAATAAAACGTTTGGATCAAAGCCATGTTTATTTATATTTAAATGTATTTTTTGCTTCACAGATTTATATTCTGCATCTTTGAATCATAAACTACTTTGGAACAGGAACAGGAACATGAGCAAAAACAGTGTTTAAAGAAGAATAAGGAAAAGGAACAAAATTAGCGGAATAAATTAGGTAAGAAACAGGAATAGGAACCAGATCAAAACAAGCGCTAAGACAAGGGCAAAGAAACAGGAACAGGAGCAAGATCAGAAGTAGCGTTCAGAAAAGAGTAAAAAACAGCAACAAGATCAAAAACAACGTTAAAACAAGGGTGTAGAAATAGAAAAAGGAATAAGAACAAAAGCTAGGGACAGGAGCAAAAACTGAATAATGGGTAAAAATAGGAGCAATTACATGAACAGGAACAGCTACATGAACAGGAACAATTACATGAACAGTAAAAAGAATAGGAGTAGGAACAAAAAAAGGAACAAAAAGAGAAGTAGAAAAAGAAAAAGGAACAAGAAGAGGAGTAGGAACAGGAACAGGAAAAAGAAGAGGTTTAGGCACAGTAACAGGAACAAGAAGAGGAATAAGAACAGGAACAGTAACAAGAAGAGGAGTAGGAACAGGAACAGGAAAAAGAAGAGGTTTAGGCACAGTAACAGGAACAAGAAGAGGAGTAAGAACAGGAACAGTAACAAGAAGAGGAGTAGGAACAGGAGCAGGAACATGAAGAGGATTAAGAACAGGAACAGGAACAAAAAGAGGCGTAAGAACAGGAACAGGAACAAGAAGAGGAGTAAGAACAGGAACAGGAACAATTTGAATATAATTTGTTAAGGCTAAAATAAGTAAAGAATGAGACTATTAAGAACATGAAGGAAATGAAAGAAAGTTTAATGTTTAACGGTTGGACGAATATTTTCATAATTTTGAATTCAATTATCCATGAAATGATAACGTGGACAGCTAATTGAATGATTTATTGATTTTTTAATTGATTGTTTAGAAACATAATTCAATAATAATATTAATCAAATTATATTCTAGACTATAAATTAAACAGTATTTGTTGGTTTAGGGACAGAACTATTTCAGGGTTGGAATATTATTCAATTATTTATGCAAAATCAAAGTAATTAGGTGAATTAGGTGATTTAAAGGATTTTCTTTTCTGTTTTTAAACGAGAAAAATCAATGTTCTCATTGGTTTGAAACCATCGAAAATTTTGATTAACTAACTTTCTTAATTCTGCAGTACAGTTACCATATTTACTGGAAGAACATGTAAATAAAAAAATCTCTAAAACAACTATCCACAAAGGCTTAAATAATGTTTTTCTAATTACATGAAATTGATATAAATACTAGAAAGAACAGCAACAACCTTTAAATATGAAAGCAATCAAAATCACGCAACCTCGTTGCCTTGGACCTGACCTTGCTAAATCATTTTGAACAAACATTCAACCATGATTGTCTGTTCGACTTCAATTATAAAAATTTAATTTTTAATATTTTACAGTGATAAAATGTGTAAGAAAAAAAACTTATTTTGGGGACTATATTTTTTTATAAATCTCTCTTCAAAATATTTTTTTTTCTAAGAGTTCAATTTAATGCAAAAACAATATAATGATGTGGAAATAACTATTTATAACACTGTTATTTTGGTTCGCAGTGTTATAAAGTTTTAGGACAGAAATTTTCTCTTTATCGAGAAGGTTCAAGCCTTTTAGATTAGTTTTGTCCCGAGCTTTAGCGACGGACAAAATATAATCTTAAAAGGCGAGAGCCTTCGAGATATAGAGACAATTTAAGTCCAAAATAATAGTGTTATAGGAATTTTTATGAAACGTTTGTTTGTGTACTTTTTTCAATGGCTATTTCTAGATCAAATAAGTTTTGAAACACAGCAGAAGTCAAAATATAAAGTTGATTTTAATTTTATTTTCATAAAATCAAAACTTTATAGCACACGTCCTATAATGTACAGCTAATTTAACATTATAGCACAATGATTACTTTATAGCACGTTCATTATGAAGTTCACTATGAAGTGAGGAAGAATGATAAAGTACACAATAGTTTTATAAAAAATAATTAAAAGAGAGAAAAAATTGCATTCTTACTCGGGGCATGGTGGGGGGGGGGATGAGAATTCTAAAAAATAATGCCACGTTCTATGTCTATCTTGAGAAAGATTGATTTGGTTCTCTTTCTTTCTGTAAATGTAGAACTTTTAGTTTTCAAACAATCACGAAACCTCGACAATTAACCTTCGCTGCTTATTGTATCTAATGAACAATTAAAGGTCATTAGAGGAGCAATTTGAATAATTAACATCCAGTAATTCAATTCAAGATTATTATGCAATAGATTGACAGCTAGATATACTACAGACTAATGAATTATTCAGTGCACTGTATATATAATACATGCATAGATAGATAGATATACTCAACCATTTCATTAATTAAAGTACGATTGGTAGATTCTATATAACAAATGTATAATGTAGAATCTACAAAAATATTTATCACTAACCTTTTAATATAACTGTTACTTTTTACAAAGGCAAGATCAGCATGGCTAATACAAATGTATAATATTCTACATTCTTCCTGCACATCCGAGTAAACAGTAGGTTTCGCCACCTTTTTGATCATTCAAAAGTTTTGCTCAGAAACTTGTTATGAGTTCATCCCCTCGATGAGCTTCAGATATTAATTTGAACTCTATTTTATCCCTCCACTGGGATTCTTTTGTCTATGAATATAATTTTGAATTAATTGAATACTTCAACCAATAGAATATTTGGCAAACCTTGCTGGAAGTTGAAGTGGGAAACAAAACTTTTATCAGACCAACATTTCGTTTTCATTTTAAAATTTACGAACACCATTTCGTTCTCATTTCAAAATATTAGATCCACCATTTTGCGCTCATTTTAAAATATTAGACGGCCATTTTCTTTTCTTTTCAAAATATCAGACCACCATTTTGTTTTTATTTAAAATACCAGATCCACCATTTTGTTCCCATTTTAAATTATTAGACCGCCATTCTATTTTATTTTCAAAATATCAGACCACCATTTTGTTTTCATTTAAAAATACCTGACCACCGATTTGTTCTCATTTCAAAATATTAGACCGCTGGTTTCTTTTCTTTTCAAAATTTACGAACACCATTTTGTTTTCATTTCAAAATACCAGACCACCATTTTGTTTTCATTTCAAAAATCCAAGACCACCATTTTGTTTTCAGTTCGAAATATTAAACCACTATTTTTCATTTTATTTCAAAATACCAACCAATTCATAATACCAGACCACCATTTTGTTTCCATTTATAATACCAGACCACCATTTTGTTTTCAATTCATAATGCCAGACCACCATTTTGTTTTCAATTCATAATACCAGACCACCATTTTGTTTTCAATTTATAATACCAGACCACCATTTTGTTTTCAATTCATAATCCATTTTGTTTTCAATTCATAAAACCAGACCACCATTTTGTTTTCAATTTATAATACCAGACCACCATTTTGTTTTCAATTTATAATACCAGACCACCATTTTGTTTTCAATTCATAATACCAGACCACCATTTTGTTTTCAATTCATAAAACCAGACCACCATTTTGTTTTCAATTTATAATACCAGACCACCCTTTTGTTTTCAATTCATAATACCAGACCACCATTTTGTTTTCAATTGATAATACCAGACCACCATTTTGTTTTCAATTCATAATACCGGCCGGACCGCTATATTGTTTTCAATTCAAAATACCAGACCACCATTTTGTTTTTGTTTTCAGGATACTTTTTTTATTTCAATATACCTGACCACATTGGTTTTAACTTTTTATACACAAACATGAAGCTAGAATTTTTTTTTCTTATTTCAAATATCAGATAACTGTTTTTTATACCAACATTTCAGGGCACCATTAGTTTTAATTTTTTTCTAAGACATTTTTTTGTATTTTATAAGTATACTGCAGGAGAAACAGGAAATGTGGAAATAGCAAGACCCAAATACACTTTCTTTAATTATTTACGAAGGAATTGGGTCTTTGCCACAAACTCTGATTTTCTAATCCATATATCTTTGCAACCCAATGTCCTTAACCTTAAATATTACAAACTATGAAGTCTGTTCAATCAAATAATCTAAGTTTGAAATATCAAATGTAAACCATCAGGTTGTAAAGATATAGGGATTAGAATATTTGAGTTTGAATTGATATTTTTTTTCAGAATATTAGGATATCATTGATTTTCATAAAAATGTTGATGAACTTTTTTTTCTTTACAAAAAATTGAAACAACGTAATTTGTAACATTTATTTGTTTGAATTTTTAAAAAACATTTATTCCGTTCGTAACCTGGAATCCAATAATCATTCTTTATTTGATTATTCTTGTTTCAAAATGAAAGATGCGTCTATTAAAATGTGAATATGTAACACTTTAAAAATCTTTTAAATCAAGGTGTTAAATATTTTTCTCTGGATTATGTTTGAGTTGTAAATCAGGCAAAGTTAAGGAAATTTAGCCTGATTACGTTTAATCTGTATATTGCATGAGTATACTATTAACTATAATCCCTCAACATCTGTATTTTTAGGTATACTGGCAGGATAGAGTCCCGGCCCCGTAGAGCAAGAAAATGTTAAGTTTTTGCCTCACAAAAAAGGACCAAAGAACATTTTTTGTTTCGATTTCACCTGTTAAAACTATTCCTACTTTTTTTTCCCCACCTAGTGTAATCGTTGATGATTTTGTGTGAACCATGCGTCATTAAAATTGCAATAATAAAACCAAAGAGAATAGAATAGATTTTAGAGGGGAATGTACTAGAAAAAAGTGTAAAACGGCCATTTTGTTGTACTGTTTCCATACTACAGGTGTACTTCACATATTTATGCTATATAACCTTTTGGGCCCTGGAATATCATTTTATAGAAAATTTAAAATTAATCTTAAAAGAAAACCATATTATGAAATAGGCTGGTTTCATAATTGACCAATGATCATTTCACATAGACTCTATGCCTTTCACTTTACAAAAGATGATTTTCCGAAAAACTATAAATCAAATGATGTTATTTATACACCTTATTCATTATAAAGTTTATTTAACAGCTTTAAAAAATTCGAAATTGAAATGGATAGTCTAGGGAACATACTGTATTAATGTACTCTACTGCATATAATTTGTGAACATTTACATGATTTCTACACTGTGAACTCCCTTTCAGACTGAAAAAATTCATACGAGAGATTCTCTAAATTCCCCTCTAATATATATTCTATTCTCTTTGAATAAAACTCTTCAAAAACTATTCAATAACGGGATTGTATTAACTCAATTAATTGTACTTTTTTAGTTTTATTTTCCAACCAAAAAAGGCCGATTGCATTTAACTGTAATTGTATTGTTTACAAAAAAAAGAAAGATTGTTCAGCATTTAGCTTGAATTGTTGAGAGTTTTCTAAATTACCTGCAGTTTCCTTGGCTTGTAAAATGCATTCAATTTCTTGTTATTTAAACAACATGGAGAAATTTATGTTGTACCGTCCCGAATAGGGTAAATGCGCCGGACTGTACCGACCAGATCCTTCCTTCCTCGTCCCGGTCTGGTCCGCTTGAAACGCCGTCGCAGATAGAAACACTGCAGTCATCAGTTTCCTATTAGACTTCGACACCAATGGAGCCAAACTAAAGTGCAAAATGTTTTATTTACTTTTGGTGTTGTTGTTTTGCAAACCAGTTTTCACGTTCTGTCCGGACGGCTGTGGTTGCGATGAAGAGAAAAGTTTAGTAACATGCATCAGAACAAAGCTAGAGGTAAATTTTGTTGACAATTCCAAATTTTGGCCGTTTGTATTTTTCCATGATAACTTGAACAATTGGCAGATTTTTGTGAAACATTAAATAAGCAATATTTAGTTCAATTCAAGTGTTAATAATGCTGTTGGTGTAAAGTCGAATGTTTATTAGGTGATGCGGAAAATATATAAACTAGATTTAGATTTAAATTAAACTTGACTACATTTTTCTACAGATTTACGCTTCCCTTCTCCTCATCTTTTCCCCCATAATTTTGGGTTTCTCCTCAGACTAGTTTCTCCTTATTCTAGTTTCTCTAAGTTTCTCCTTATTCTAGTTTCTCTAAGTTTCTCCTTATTCTAGTTTCTTTAGGTTTCTCCATATTCTAGTTTCTCTAAGTTTCTCCTTATTCTAGTTTCTCTATGTTTCTCCTTATTCTGGTTTCTCTATGTTTCTCCTTTCCCCCCTCCCTCCAACCACTAACACTTCACATGAAAGTTACCCCCTCCAATAAATATGAGGTTTGTATAGTGTGTATATCAAGGTATAAAACTATATTGATAAATTGTAAAAGTTTGAACCTAAAAGTTGAAGTTAAAAGATAAATTCTGGTTTAGAAGGCTAGTTCCAGCTATTTTTACTGGGACATTAATCTTTAGAATGTTCTACATAATTCCTATTTTCTAGTTATACTCCTGGGAGCAGCCTTTACTGCTCAAATTAAACTTTTTATCTCATTCTAAGGTTTTCTCTCAAACCTCCCCCCCCCATCCCACCACCCCCACCATCCTCCTCATCCTGCCTTACAATTAAAGTTTAACATCATTACAGTTTTTATATCCTGGTCTCTTCCCAACTTCTTTTTTAGCTTTATTGAGCTTTTTTATGTCTTAAATTCTTTTTTTCTTATTCTTATTCTTACTTTTAAATCTGAAATTGATGTGGTTCAAATTATTGATCTATTTCATGTAACGATATGACCCCGACAAGTCAAGATCAATAATCTTTCTATGGTTCAACCTTTCTTGAATTCATTACTGTTAAATACAAAATGAAAAAATACGTAAATATTATTTGAGATTACATATTTTGATATTTCATATTTCACATATAAAGTTTAATATTTTAAATTTGAGGTGTAACCCCACTCCTTCCTTTAATCCCCTATTGAAGTAAAATCTAAAGTGTTGGAAGCCGGGAAAAGATGTGAAATTATGAAAAGTCCTTTCAACATTTATTATTAAATTTCAACTTCCTAGGACATGAAAATAGAAGACGACACACATATATTAACTTTACACTCGGTAGTAGTTGTAAAGTACTAAGTGGACAAGAGAAAAGAGGAAAAGAAAATGATTTCGGCTTACACTATCTGTACTTTTTCAGTAGAAGATTAGAGGGTCTGTGCATTTTTAGTTAAAATTAACTTCCATCATTTTTATCTTCTCGGAAATCTTTGCAGCGACCCGAAACTAGACTAATTAAGCCACGAGGGGGGGGGGGCATAGGGGACACACTGTACAAGGCCATGGTACATTTTCAAGGAATTTAATTAAATATTTTAAAAATGTCTCTTTCTTTTATCTAAAGGAAAGAACATCATGCAAGATATCCATTATTCAAAGATTTAACATTTTGAAAATATTTAACTCTTGTTTTATTTCAGGTTATGCCGATTAGTTTGAACCCTGGGATCCGAACCCTCATCCTTAAATACAACGTGTTCCATACAGTAGACGCTAGCTTCAACTTCTACCCTAAGCTGGAGTTAGTTGATCTATCCAACAATGGGATTGTTTCCATCCCAGACCGTGGATTCAAGTCTCAACGATCCCTTCTGGATCTCCGATTGAATGATAACAAGATTTCAGAGCTGAACGCTGAAACCTTCCATGGACTTGGTAAACTCAAAAGTCTTGAGCTGAGGAAGAATTTTATTGAGTCTCTTCCTGGTTTTATTCTCCAGGAGCTGATTGAGCTGGAGATTCTGGATCTAGGGAAGAATAGGATCTCTAGAATAAGCCCTGAAGCCCTGACAGGTTTAACCCAGCTCCGTGTACTCAAGTTAGATGACAATAATCTGAACCGAATACCGGAGGGAATAGAAAACCTTCCCAACCTAGCGGAGTTGCACCTCAACAGGAATAAGATCAGGGTTGTTCCAGACCGGTCCCTTCTCCTTCCAACCCTCTCCTATCTTGATCTCAGCAGTAACATGATTGAGAGGATTCATGAGAAAGGTTTCGATAAACTTGTGGATCTCCGAACCTTGAAACTCCAGGATAACAATCTGTACGAGGTTCCAAGCACCGCGTTGGTATCTCTCAACTCCCTGGAAACCCTGTATATTGGACAGAACATGTTTTCTAGGATACAAGAGGAATCCTTCTCCTCTCTCCGTAGATTACGTAAACTTGACGTATCAGGGTGTCCCTCGCTCACACACATTGAAAACTTTGCCTTCACTCAGAATTCTGATTTAAAGGAAGTGACCATTGCATCGAATAAACAGCTGGGCACGATCCAACCCGAGGCGTTCCTGGGGGTACCAGATCTGGAACGTGTAGATATAAGTAACAACGCCCTGGAACACATACCTAGTGCCCTACTACCCTGGCAGAGACTTGTACATTTCCAGATCTCAGGAAACCCGCTCCACTGCGACTGCGCAAACTTCTTCCTTAAGGATATCATCTACTCCATCGTGAACAGTAGTGAGACTGTTCGAGTTGTGAGATGTTGGACTCCGGCCTATCTCAGAGACCAGGATTTAGCCCTGCTTGAACTAGAGTGTGATATCACGAGTAGTTCAAGGATTGAGGATACAGATATCCTTACTGTTATCATAGTTGCCACAATAGTTTCAGTCTTCCTGGTTCTCTCTCTTCTTCTCCTCTTCGTCCGACTCCGACGTTCCAAATATGGAACTCAAGTTCCTGTAAAAGATAAGGATATCTTACAGTATGAAGAGACTGAACCCAGATACGTTTCTCCGTTCTCCGTTAAACCCCATGTTGTCTCCAACCCATACCAGGAAACTCTGATCAGAAATGAGCAGTATTTCGCGACCCTGGCCAGAATGGATCCTGGTTTCTCTGAGCACAAGTTTAACAGAATTGAACCTGTATACCAAACAAGACTAGAGTCTGATTATCAGACTAGGTTGGAGCCTCTATACCAGGCCAGACTGGAGCCAGTTTACCGAGAACAGATCTATACAGATCCGAACCAGATCTCTAATGCTGGGACTCTAGTCAGGATTAATCCTAAATCCCACTACGAGGATCCAATCTCTATACTTTAGACTCTATACAGAGGGGATTACAGAGATATTCATTAGCATTATAGTTTCAGTTTGGAGACAAACTACTTTTACAAATCATTCATTCAGTTACACCTAGATGCATAGATGCTTAGATGCATATATAGTTACATCCAACCCTAGCCGAACATTAGACAAGAAAACTTAGATTTTTAGAATTTAAAGTCGATAGTTTTCATAAAATTAGGCTAGACAGCCTGTATATGCAGGAGGGGCTGGATTAATGCAATTTTCATGCTCTCTCTCTCTCGCTCTCTCTTTACAATTATCTTGTTCTCGCAAATTTCGTACAGATCTCAGTATAAACGTTCCAAGGTTTCAAACCAGAGCAGAATTTGTCTGCCGACATTCTGTTGGTAAATGGTATTTTTTTTGCAACTAAAACATGCATTGCTTACTGTACGTACAGTACATGCATACAGTACAGTACAGTACAGTACAGTATAGAACAGTACAGTACAGTACAGTACAGTACATGCATTGTTTACTGTACGTACAGTAGTTAGACTGAGATCTGTGAATTTACTAAGCAATACAATTGCTCAAAGCTGTGATATATATTTATCTAATTAATTGAATTATAATTTAATTCTTCATTGTTTCGTTAAATTTAAATTAATAAACATAAGATATTATGAAAATAATGATTTATTCTTGTAGTAAACCCAGTTAGAATTAGACATTCAATTTGATTCTAAAAATGGCCGAGAAGAGAGATAAAGTAAGATAAAAGCAAAATATAAAATTTTCAGATAAAACCTAATTTTCAATTGATTAGTTTAGAACATCCAAAATTGAAAAGTCCTTTTCTCAGTCTTCTGTTTCAAAATGCAAGGACAGATTAGGACACACTGTAGCAGGGTTTAGATATATAATGAGGGGTTGATATCGGTCAATCCAGGTCTATATTCTGGACTGTATAGTGTATACCCCAGGATTTAGATATATAATGAGGGGTTGATCGGTCAATATTCTGTCAGTAAATCCAGGTCTATATTCTGGACTGTATATATAGTGTATACCCCAGGATTTAGATATATATTGAGGGGTTGATCGGTCAATATTCTGTCAGTAAATCCAGGTCTATATTCTGGACTGTATATATAGTGTATACCCCAGGATTTAGATATATATTGTGGGGTTGATCGGTCAATATTCTGCCAGTAAATCCAGGTCTATATTCTGGACTGTATATATAGTGTATACCCCAGGATTTAGATATATAATAAGGTCTGTCAGTAAATCCAGGTCTATATTCTGGACTTTATATTGTATACCCCATGGTGAAATCAATTAGGACGTTATAGTAGCCTATTAAATGATAATAATAGCCTGTGGTCTTTTTAGATCACTATCAGAGAATGATATCAAATTAATTTCTAGATGAAAGACTAGTTTAAAGATAGGTTACTAAGATATCATGAATATTGTACCAGTACAAGAATAAGAGTTTATATAGTATTGTAAGATAATGGAGTTTTTTAGCAAAATGGCGCGAATGACCACACGTTTAAGTTTAAAAATATAGTGATAATCAGAAAACCGTGAAATAGGAAGACGACATTATAGCAAAACTTAAGTGTATTTGATGAATTGTTACAAAGAAATAGTTTTACTTGGCATCACTTATTAGATCACTAATTTAGTGAAATGGATCTGTTTATACTGCACAATTGTTATGTCTCATGCTCATTGAACTTTTAAAAGTTATAACTTGCTTTTTAAAGTCGTCTTCTAATTTCAGAGTTTTCTGGTTATCACTGTATAAAACCAGAAGATATCCTGATAAGACCTAAACCTTGATATGCTGAGGAATCTTCAATCTTAATATATTCAGAATCAATTAAACTGTAGAACAAGGAGAACAAGGTTGAATTCTAACTTTACAGAATCTGAGTTTAGAAGATTTTATAAAGATGGGGGGGGGGGG